AATAAAACTGTTTACAACACAGATTACAGAAAAGATTTGTGGTGTTTTTTTTTTCAGGAAACCAAGAGAAATTCCTAAATCCGGAGGAGGAATTTTCATGCAGGCCCCAGCAATGACCACCGAACCACTGCGAAACCTTAAATCTGAACAAAATAACAAGAAAATCYCATTAAGTATTTAAGATGATCAGAATATCAGAATATCTTTGGATAAGAAAATACAGAAAAAAAATATGTGAAGTTAAAAACTAAAAGCAATAAAATATTTTACTAAACTGTTTTTGAGAAAACTGTAAAACTTTCATAAAGTCTGGAGCTCAGTTCTTCCCTCAGGTTTTGGGTTTTGCAGTGATCGTGTAAAAGGATGCGACTTTACGACGTGTTTCCAAACCAGAGTTTCTCTTTCTCAGAGAYGGGAAATGTCAACTTATCAACTTAATTAACTGCATGTTTACATTTTAGAGCCAGCATCAGTGGTACTGCACTTTTTGTTTTCACTTTAAGTTTCTTTTTATTAGAAATGTTAATTAACCCAATGAAARACACTAAAAACTCAATTTGAAACAAATCAAATAAATCTTGTCACAAACTATTGACCAAAATGTTCAAAGAAAAGCAAAAACTTATTGAATATTAAAGGGATAGTTTAAATCATTAAAAGTGAAGTTTTGTGGAAAGGTTAATATTTCACCTGTAGATTGCTCTGAAACCGACTGCAGAGAGATAAGTTGTTTTTAGATTMTCAAATGTAATTTCTCATTAAACTGAGCGACGCCTTGATGTGGGCGGGACCATCATAGTAAGGCTGCCGGACGCTCCTGTGATGTCGTTTTTTGGCGACGCCCAACAATGGAGGACATCAAGCTGTGAGCCTGGTGCTCAAGAGAGAGAGAGAGAGACAGAGAGAGAGAGAGACTGTAGTAAATGGTGGTTTTGAAACAACCGCTGCCATGACTCATTCAACATCGTGGCTCCTGTGGTCTGCTGATGTGAAATTATTGGCTCTGCTCGACTGGATCCTATCCGAACTGAAGCAGGAAAACATGTGAACCCACGCCGAGCCGGACATTTAGGAAAAGAGCTGAAGGGTTGAATTTTGATCTGACAGCTTATCTGAGTGCAGGCGAAACCAAAGTGGACTGATCATTTKAATACAACTCTAACCCCAAACATCTGAACCTTTGAACAAAATAATAGATGACAAAGTTGTTAAATGAACACGTTTAGAAGTCACGATATCTGCCTTGGCTGAGTGGATTAAGGTCAAAGGTCAGCTCTGCTCCTTTGCTCTTCGAGGGCCACAAATGTCAACATTTCCTTTCTTTCCCACATTCAGACCTCATCCTGAAACAAACAGAGCTCTCAGCCTGAGTTCAGTCCGGTCAGACGTGTTGAGACGTGAGGATCGCTGTTTAGAAACAAGAGTGTTATTAGACAGGTGGCTGGCTTGTGCACATATTTACACACAGAAAAAAAAAAGATTTTACGGTTTAAACCTGATTTATGTTGGTTATTAGAAGAATGACTGACCCACTTTCTTGTACCCACAAAACCCACACTGAAGATTATATTTGTGCTGATAGCAACATACAGTTGTTTATTTCTGTCTAGACATATTTTTAAAATGTTTGAAAGTTCACGGTCGCTGATCTTTCTGTACAAAAAAAATCTGTCCATCTAAATGTAGATTATATTTCTCGGGATTAATCTCAGGTGAAGCAGGCTGACAGAAATGCCTGAGGATCATCATTAAAGAGCAGGTTTGTGTCACATTTAAGGTGTAACTGGAAAACACTCCCTACCACACACACACTCACACACAGACACATGCACACACACCCTCACGTACTTTATGGTGCAAGTCTAAAGTGTTGCGCAATGTTGCTGTTTACAGTCTTTCAACTTTGTGCTCCATCTTTAATCTAATTAGCAGAATAGGTCTTAACCTGATGAAAGCAGCTCAGTGAGCTGCTGGAGGATGAAGAATCTGTACAGGCTGAGAGTTAAAGCTCAGCCCAGGTTACAATTAYCTCCAATAACTGATCAAATGTGTGCATTTTTAATATCAACACAGAAACAAGTAGAGGTTCAATCACAGTCCCGACTTTAGCTAAATTAAACTGATTTTCATTAYTCAGCCCACAGGAATACTGTTGTAATAATTAGGCACAAATGTAAGCGTTACAGAAGCCTTAAACACACATAATTAAGTTGTAACAACCAGGGGTGGAGCCAGGRTGCCTGTCTGTAAGATAGCAAAAACATGGAGCAACTAGAAAGAATCCATGAGAAACACTGACAGGTGGCCACCATTTTAAATTTATGATTTGACCKTACTATRTGTTTGTGATCGCAGTTTAATATGKGTAAAAATAACTGAATTATAAAGTCATTTGAACTTTAGCTTCTGTGACCATCTTAGATTTTATTTGATTTTGAAATCTTGGGCATTGCTTTCTTCTACCACCAAACTATCTTTAAAACTGCCTGTTTTATAAGAGTTTTCCTTTTAGCTCAGGTGGCCATCTTGGATTTTTATTAATTATAATAAACTGAACTTAAATGGTGCTTTTTCTAGGACACTCAAAGACGCTTGGTGGTGGTAAGCTACATTGTAGCCACAGCTGCCCTGGGGCACGCTAACAGAGGTGGGGCTGCCATGCACCGGCGCCACCAGACCCTCTAACCACCATCAGTAGGCAAGGCAGGTGAAGTGTCTTGCCCAAGGACACAACGACTGAGATGGATGGAACCAACAACCCTCCAGTTAGAGGACGACGTTCTATAAAGATTTTATACCTTTTTTCTATTTTTGCTATAGTTGATTTAGTCTGTAGAATGGTCCCTGGTTCCTCAGGTTAATGAAGGTAACTTGCTCTGTGGGTTATTTGGTGCAGATGATGTTTTGTGATAGAAGTATCATATGATGCAGTCAAGACTAACTCATGACAAAAATGTGTTAAAACAAAACAAAACAAATAAAAAAACAAGGGTAACACATTTTCTAAGTACGATTTTCAGATAAAGTTCAGGTCACTCTGTCAGTGCGCCCCAGGGCAGCTGTGGCAACATTGTAGTTTACCATCATCAATGTGTGAATGTGTACATGTGTGAATGAATGATCTATGAGATTGTAAAGCGTCTTTTAGGGTCTCAAAAAGTGCGATATAAGACTAATGCATTATTATTATTATTATTATTATTATCAAAGGAAAGTCAGAATTAGCAACATTTGTCATTTTATATTCATCAGGAGGTTTTTCTTTCTAATAATCTGATCCAAAATGCTACAAAATAAAATCTGACAAAAAAATAGTACGTCCATATTTCTCTATGATCAAAAAGCTTTTTAGGTCTCACACACTGAAGAAATTTTACTTTCCACCTGCAGTCAGAGGGCTGTGCTCACTGAGCTCAGGCCCATGTGTGGTTCTGAGTTTCTAAATGTAGAACAGGCAGCAGAGCCAATCCCCTGCTTTAACTTTACAAGCTTTATGTTTCCAGCTCTGCTTTTAAGCTTAGAGGCTTAAACGTGTCCTTGTTAAAAAACATCTATTATTATTTCAGGTTTCTTATTCTGAGTCAGATTTTTCATATGATCTAAGAGTAAAACACTTTTGGAATATGGATCCAGCTGCATTTTGTTTTGTACTTGTGGACATGTGACTGGTGTTTATCASTTTAATCACTTTAGCTCTGCTGCACTGAAGGACAAAGCCCTGTCCTGCTGTGAAACTCAGAGTGAAACTAATGTAATTATTTTATTCACGGAGGAACACAGTAAATATAAAACATTTCTTCAAATTAAACAGGTGTGGGCCAAATCTGGTGTCAAGCCAGCACTGCTGGCATGGCAAGGGGTTTGTCAACAGGATGTGGGCCAGGTCTGGCAACAATGGCACTGATTTTAAGATGGAACACCACAACTTGCCCAGTGGTGCTGACAATCTCTGGCAACCCACACCTGGGCCACCAAAGGGTCGTTCTTCTTTGCGGTATCTGAGCTGAATGGTGAGTGTTTAGTACGCTCTGTGGGCCAGAACTGGGCCAGACAAATTTTACTACGTGGGCCTTCTCTTCAGTTCATAGGATGTGGACTCTGTGGTTTCCRAAAAGAACTGTAAATTGCCAGTTGTCTAACTACAGAACAGGCCTCCATATAAATGAGCTTTGGTCCAGAGATGTCCATGTTTCTGCRTWTGGCCTTTTTCTTTGCATGATAGAGCTTTAACAAGAATTTGTAGAAAGCATGATGAACTGTGTTGACAGACAGTGACAGTCCATGCAGTGATGCTCAGAACCTAATCTGACCTGTCCTAAAGCAGGGGCCCCCAAGGGCCCKAAGACCATAATTATCTAAAACAGAGCTCAGAGATTTCTAAAAACYTGTGAATTGATTTGATGATGTCATGAACTGTAGATAATGAGATATTCTGGGAAAAAACCCTCATTTATGGCCACACATTTAGTTAAACTAAAGCATAGTTTARCTCAGGTTTATTTATTGACWAATTGTGCTCTTGCCACAGGAAATRTGGATGTTCTAAACCTGTCTTAGATTTGTTCTTTAAATCAGAAACAACATATTAAGTCCAGTTATTTTACGCACAAGTCTTACGCATAAGTATGTTTTGRATTGCAAAAATGTAAACATGGGATTAAATGTTTCAGATTTCAAAATAAAGACTTCATACTCCTGAGCAATTAACTAAAATGACCAGCCTGTCACATTGTCAACCTGCAGAGCCGTCGGCTCACAGCAGAGCTAAATGAGGCACGTTGAGGTTTAGAGAGGTAAAGCTGGATAAATCTTTCCAGACTGATCTCTGACACTGAAGAGCAGCAGGAGGAGGAGGAGGAGGAGGAGGAGGAGGGTGGGGCGATACACAGACACCTGCTGAGGATGAAAAGAGGGAGGGAGGGGGAGAAGATGCTGGGTTGGTGGAGAAGTTAGGCTGTCTTTTAAAAGTGACCACGTGATTGGAAAAAAAAGAAGATGTGGCGATTAGGAGGGAGGATATAAAAGCACAAATTGGACAAAGCGTGTCACTAAATTCAGGAGAAGAAGCAGCTGTGAGMAGAAGCGTTGAAGTTTTCAGAGGAAAGGTAGGAACAAACTGAACTAATTATTATATGCTCCAACTAAAGTCAAGTTAAATTGAAATAAGAACTAAAAGAATCATTTAGGTAGTAAATGATTCACACAATGGAATAATTTGGATGAGACTGTTTTTAACAAATGCTGATAATTCAAGTGTCTTGAGCAGAAAGTTAAATATTGTTTTCATGTGTAGATTTATGATGCTCAGGTTAAAGTGGGATGTGTTTGGGCTAAACCRAGTCAGATTTGGAAATGTCGACATGGAGCTTGTCAGATCTGTGCTCCTGACAGACTTCATTATATTTTTTTCCAGTTTGAGTTCAGTAACGTGTCAAGTCTGAGTGTTTTCTATCTCCATCAAAGTGCTCTAACAGGATTACTAAAGCAAACCATCAGGAGCAAAGCTCAGGTTCTTAAGAGGAGGAACAAGCAGGAACATTTTGTTCAAAGTATCAGTGAGAAACAAAAACAGCTGCAGGATACGTTTTGACAATAGCGGTGCTGACACAACCTCAGACTCCTCCGAGTCAAAATGTAAGAAAAAACTCAAAGATGAAATGGATGTCATCAAATGTTTGCCGCTTCATAGAAGTAACGAAAAAATAAAGTTGTTCTTCTGATGCATGTGAGGAAGAGGAATTCGTTGTTTGAGAATCGTAGTTGGATTAAAGCTAATCTGGCTGTTTTTGCTGTTTCACCTAATCTGGGTAATCTCCACTGATTGGCATTAAAGGAGCTGAGAGGACAACAGATTTACACACAGCAGCAGGAGCCACAGGAAGACAGGGTACATTTAACAAAAAGCTTTTTTTCCCCCCCAGACACTCATCAGAAATGAACGCCAGCCCTCCTGCAGGAAGCGCCCTGGCCCCTGGTGGAGCCACCGGCCCCACCACACCAAAGAAGGGCCCACCCAAGTTCAAACAGAGGCAGACTCGTACATTCAAGAGCAAGGCTCCCAAACCAGGCCAGAAGGGGTAAAAACAAATCTTTTTTTTTTAAATTTACTAAACATAGACATTCTTTCACCAAGCACAAAAACTGACTTCTTTGTTTACCACTTTGGCAGCTTTGGTGACGACATCCCCGGCATGGAGGGTCTTGGCACAGACATCACAGTGGTGTGCCCATGGGAGGCCTTCGGTGACATGGAGCTGAGCGACTTGGCCAAATATGGCATCATTTAACCCCTCCTGACCTGTTCCCTGTGATCCTCTCCATCCTGCCTTCTGCTTGTCAGCTCGGCTCGCCGCGATAAGGCCGCCGGTGTCCCCTAACGCCCTCTTTTCTGTCTGTCTCACACGATACTCCACTATGTGGACATGACTATTTTTATATTATTATTATATGATACTGTTTACAGTATATACTGTATATACTTGAAACGAGAAGACGAGAAGAGAAAAAAACCCACCTCCCTTCATCCTGACCCATGTGAAGTAGCTCGCCTGACCTTTCTGCTGTCTCCACCCGTCCCTGAAAACCCACGGCGATGGAAGCCAAACGTTAGCTCAGGACCAGCTTGTATTTGCTCCTAGCTGTTTGATAAAAATGTAAATAACATGTTCTCAGAGTTGTCTTCCTTTTGTACGTCCCTCCTCTTTTATTCTGAATTTCTATGACTGAAGCTGGAAACATCAAAGCGATGGAGGTTAATTGTGYAAAATGCTGGACTTTCACACCATCATGGGAGAGGATCTTTGTCTCCCATCGTCCTCGCTGTTAATTGAACCCAGGACCYTCCTCTCAGAGAAAATAAAGACATACTGTGTGTGTTTGTACAATCCTACAGCGTGTACTGCAAAATGTACTGATMGCTGCAGTAAAATGTGTCTATTTTTAGTACCTTTCTTGGCCTCCTCTGTTTTTCAAACTGATTCAAATGAGGTTTAAAAAGGGGGGGGGGGGGAATGTTTAAATAAGACTAAACCATAATACTGTGTGTGTATGTTCATTTGTTTATCAGTTAGAAAAATATTTCATGAACCACTGGATGGTTTTTATTGAAACAGGACTTAATCGTGTCTTATCTACAGCTGATGAACTTTAGGAGTCACCACAGTTCAAGATGGCTGCCACAGCCAATCAACATTAAAGTGCCTGTCAAAAAGTGGAAGAAAACAGCCTAATGTTTGAGATTTTGCCTCAAATACATGATTTTACACAGTTTATCAGCCAAACTGAAACAGGAAGTGACATCAAAGGGGAGCTCTTTCAGATTTTTTTTAGCTCTTTAAGAAAATAAACTCTCTGGTCTTTGTTTATTGAAACAATATTATCTGAACTCTGACTCTTCATCCTTCTCAGATGGTAACTCAAATCACCAAAATAAATAAATAAATAAATAAATAAAACAGCAGATTCTTCTCTACTATCTGTGTTGTTAGCCAATGTAGCAATATTTTGCTTACATGCAGGCTTTCCCCTTTGACATCACTTCCTGTTTCTATTCATGTAAATATCTCAACAACCGTCCGTCTCAGCGGCTTGAAATCTTTTGCTGCTTTCATTATTGATGTAATATATCCAAAAATGCATTGATGTTTATCATGAAAATTTTATGTCATAGGCACTTTTAAACAACACAGAAACAGCTCTAGCTCAGTCAGTTCTACAGACGTTGAGCTAAAATTTGGGGTGCTGGTAGCTGAGAGTCATTCACAACATTGYATGGGCATAAATTTATTTTCCTGGTTTGACTAAAACAGCCACAGCTGTCATTTCTCACTATAAGAGGATCTTGGTCAAACACTGATATTTGATAACTGCATTGTCTTTGCACTATAAGATGTAGTCAGCAACATACACT